CTTAGACATCACTAATACTGCAAAATTCTTCAGTTTAATTCTGGTTTAAACACACTTTACTCTCTCCTTTTTCACATGTTTAACTACTGTTATTGGTACATTTAAAACACAGAAACATCCTAGAGAGTAAGTGAAGATCCTTCCACCCGGGCAGTTGCTGCACTCCGCGCCGCCCCCGCGCGCCACACCCCCGCGCGGCGGCGTGGGCGTGCTAAAAACCCTCCCCACGCGTCCTGAGCAAACGCACCACGCCACGCCACGACATCGCGGGAGTGATCCGGCGCGCGGTTATTTGATTCGATGAAATCCGTCGAGCCAATCCCCCCCCCCCGTGCGACTTTTTGCCCTGTTTGCTTCGTTACTTGGTCCTTTTGGCGGGGCAGCGCCCACTTTGAACATAACAGACAGGGGAACACACGGCCGTCGGCGGCGCGGCTGCGCGCGGGCCGCAGCAGCAGGGGCAAGCCGCAGGCCGGGGGGAAAAGGAACGACAAGTCGTGCCAAATTCGAGTGTGGGAATCCGGCAGCCGCATCAGCAGTCCGGCCCAGGCCCGGCGAGGGGAAGGGAACGGGGTTTTCAATAATTTAGTGTGGCCAAGAATGTTATTGTGCGGTCCGGGCGCATCGGACGTGTGCTCGCGGAGGGTAGAGGGGGCAGGGGAGGGGGAGGGTGTATTCCGAGAACGCCCTTCCCTCAAAAACCAACCAACCGGGCGGCAGCGGGAGGGACCGCGCTGCCGCCGTTCCGAAAGCAAAGCACACCACACGGGTGAGTGACTGATTGCTCTCGCACTGCCCAGCAGGTTGGATTGATTGATGTCACGTTGATGTTGTTCGGGTATTTCGTCGATCGGCGGCGCTGCTGCTGCTGTTTGGGTTTATTCGAACCGCAAAGCAATAAGCGGGACAAATAAGAGCAAAATGAGACAAACGGGGCACGAGGGAGGCGTCTTGTAAACGCGCACCGAAGGCCTCTGACGACTGCGTGACCCGAAGGACCCGAGTAACGGGTGCCTCCAGTTAGTTCGATGTGAACAAGCCGTCGTGTTAACCCTTTTTTGAAGTTAAAAGTTTAAAGAAGAAGCGGAGGTCACGCACGCCCTGCGTCCGCCGGGCCCGCTGACCCTCCTGACTTTAATGGAGTCAAGTGGCGCAGCACGGGGCCCTGACCGCGCCCAGGCCCGGCCGGCCCCGCCATCCAGTCATTTGTTTCCTTGTCCCGATATGACGCCCGGCTCATTCGTCAGCGGCCGAGGTAAATTAAGAGGGCCGCGTCATTGGGTACGTCCGCAACCGCGATCCGCTTTATGGAGAACAAAGAAACGCTCCCATGTCAAGGGTGCGCGTCCGTTTTCCTAAGATTCATTCTGCAAATATTAGGATGAGCTCGGCGCCTGTGAGGTGCGGGGTGCGCAACCCCGCAGTACACGCACGCACTGCAAGCGCAATGTTGCCTACCCACCAGGCGCTACGACGACTTGCAGAAGTTTGACAGGTTCGTAACCGCACCCCTTTTGGTGCGTAAGTCTCTTTCTATCCACGTGCCAACTGGAGAGTGCGCTGTGCTGTTTGATGGAACGGGCGCCGTCGCCACCGTGCGTAGCCGAGTCCACATCAATGTTCTTCAGCACCTCTCACAGCGCGAGGGTTATGTTGTTTTTCGGTGCCTTCATATCCCTTCTAATACATGCAGCAAGCGCCAGGTGTGGTGGGTGTGGTAGGGTGTGGTGGGGCGCTCTGAGCTCAGGTGCAATGCAGCAAGCTTGTAACTCTCGGCGGCGTCGTCGTCATCCTTTTTGCCCCCGGCGCCTTGTCCGTGTGTCCTGCCCCGCCCGGCCCCGCCGCCGGCGGCGCCTTACCGAGGCGATAACTTCGGACCACGGAAGGCTCTCACCTCGGCGTCGGCGGCAGCTCCCTGCACCGCGCCCTGCTGCACAACACGAGCCAAACTGAGCGTCGTCGTGTTCCATGACTTACCCTCACTCTCGGCGCGGCGTTTCTCTCTGTTTAATAGGGTTTTATTGGTCTTATTTCCAATGTTGATCGTGCAGGTGAGGCTGCGCTCGCTCCTCTACTCTGACCCCCCCCCCTCCTCCGAGCACATACGGCAGCCTATGCCCTGCTGCCCGCTTCCATTCAGGACAATGGACTCATTGGACTGTCCACTTCACGATATCTTTATCAGGGCCGTGCATAACGGCGATTGTATTCCGCAGTTCGCGTGCCCCGCCCCGCCCCGCCCCGCCCCGCCCCGTGTCCAGTAGCGGCTCCGGGACCGCCAAGTACGTTCCTCAGCCTCGGCACACGGCGGCCACCGCGTCGCCGCGACTCCATGTCCACCCGCTGGACTGGACGCGCGCGGCCTGGACCGGACACTGGACATTCCCGCTTTACAATCCCCCATTCGACGACGGATTCCTTTCACCCCCCCTCTTTTTCTGTCTGTCTCTCTCTCTCTTTCGCTCTCGCACGAGAAGAGGTGCGCATTATTCGGAAGAGACGTTACAATGCGAGTATATATGTACATGCGAGAGGCGTGCCGCCGCCCGTTGCGTCCCCGACAAATACATACGCAGCGCAAAGCGCACACGCGGTAGATCGCATCGGCAAGGATGTCGGCGGTGGCGGCGGGGCCGTACGGCGGGGCCGGCGCGCGCGCACTTCAACACGGGCGGCCGCGGGTGTCCTGCTACTCGGCTTATTTGGCTGTGAGTTGATCTGGCACGAAACTCGTCCGAACTCGGGTGGAAATGTGTAAAGGAATGAACTACTTTTGCAAAACAAACGTACATGATTTTCAGGAGATGAGGATATGTCGGGATATGTTCTTATTGAATAAATATTGCATGAAAACTTCTCAAGAAAATGATTAAAAATTTCCAAACTATTCGAATAGTAGTCACATCATCAAATTTAGAGCCTACTAAATTCACCGGTGGTCACATAGAGATGACCGCCAACACTACCGTCTTACGACGTGGAGCCCGGCAGTGGTCGCGGCCGACCATGATCACCCGTCACGCGTCACACGTCACGCCCAAGTCACGGCGCGCGCGTGACAAACACGCATGATCGCGGGGCGCCTCGTAAATAAATTGGGTTCGCGTGCTAGCGCGGTGCTGCTGCTGCTGCGGGGGGGCGGGGGAGGATCTTGATTTACCGCAATGAAGGAGGAGCGACCAAGTGCCACCGTAGCACCCGCCCTGGCCTACCAACTGATGACCGCACGGACATGCGATCACACGGGCGCACACTCGCTACTTGCCGCTGTGCAGTTGCCACCGCGTATACCATACAGATGGGCAGTAAAGATGGCACCGATGGTACTGCTGCTTCACAGGAAACCAACGTGTGTTGAGTGGTAAATGTTGCACACTTGTGAAAGGTGAATGGTTATTTTCGTTCTCACGCGATTTTGTAGGTGGCAAGATGCTCAAAATGTTTCTTTTAGGTATACATTCTAATGTCGAGCGGATGAATTCCACGACACGACAGACGGACATCTCTTATTCTAGACGTTCCCGAAAGTCCCCTAGTACTCACCACGACGGTGCCGTTGGAGCTGTAGAGAGTGGCGCCGAACCACTGGTTGGACTTGTCGTCCATCTGCTGGCCCGCCGAGTTGTTGTTGGAGCCTGCGGAGGGACAGATAGAACCATACGGAGGAATTAGAGACATGGCTCGAGTATAACAAAACGAATAACGCGTTTGCTTCTGCCCGGGTCGTCGGGCGGCGTCCACCAAGGGCGAAACCGGCGGCGTGCCAGTCACAGGCACAGGGGGGCCTCCTCCACGAGGAGCGGCGCGCCAGGCAGCATGCCCTGTACTCCAGTGGGGTTGCAGGGGCGTGGCGCAGGCAGGCCGGGGCGGTGGGGCGCGGCGCGGTGCCAAGAAGTGCCTCCTGGTCAAGGCATTGTGTGCTAAACGCACCAGCCGGCCGGCCGGGGCCTGGTCAGGAGGACCCGTGCGCGCCCCGCCACGGGAACAGAGCACACGGCTCGGCGTGCATATGGAACACCCCGCGCCCCGCCCGCCCCGCCGCTCTCCACTCAACGTCACTGTGCTGCCGCTACGCCCCGCCACCCGTTGAATTAATCCATTTCCAGATCCTGGCGGTGCCCAACAACGGCCACCCGAGAAGGAGGAGGCCGCCGTTGTCCGCGCCAGCTTACATATTGTTTTCCTCTCACACATCGTGATGGTGGTGGTGGGGTGGGGTATGATTTAGTATCTCGAGTTGTGTGTGTTTTTCTCTGCTTATTGCATGAGCGGCGGCCACTGCTGGTCTCGGGTACACCCGACGCTCCCAAACCGCCCGCACCGGCCCGGCGGGCCCCGGTCGAACAGATGAGTATCGGCCCGTGAGGAGGCCGTGCGCCTCGTGACTGACAATGAGCTGTCCCCCCGGCCCGGCCCGGCGTCGGAAGGAGTGGCGAGAAGAACATCGTATACCCGCGGCTTTTAGACTCCTACCTCCAGGCCGCGCCGGGGGCAACGGCAGCCTTGAGGGCTCATCGGTCTGGCGGCCTTCACGACGCGAACTTGTCCCGTCCGAACCAAAACGCGCTGCCGACGCCGTCGACCTGGCCGGGCGGGTACGTGCGCCGCTGCCACGCCCCGCGCGGTGCGCGTTCCATCCAGTCGACCCGTCTTGCCTTTGCGTCCATCAGTCACATCCACTCCCGTTGCAGCACCGACTAGTGTGTGTGCTGCTGCCAGGCCAGGCCGTGCCACCGTGGCGCTGTGGACGTCGAGCGCAGCAGCCCGGATAGATGGCAGCAATGTCCTGGACCTGGAAACCGGAAGGCGCGGGGGTGCCAGCGCGCGAACCCTAAGGTCAAGGCCAGGCAAGCTAAAGTGTCTTACTCAAGGGCTGCACTGGAGGGCCCCCCCTTTCCTATCCAGTCTAGCAAAGGGGCACTGACCACGCGCGTTTGTGTGTTGTGTATGTGGTATGTGTGTGTGCGACAGACGACGTGCCAAATACGGACGCCGCTCCTTGATGGACGCTATATATATGAGGGGTTATCCGTAAATCAAGTAAAAACGCCGTTTGACGTCGCGCGCTTTAAGCAAGCTAGAAGCTTGAGAAAAGAGTGAAATACAAAGAGGTGGGGAAGAGAGAGAGGGGGGTGGGTGGGGCACCGATAAGTCGTTCTCGATCGATGACCCCCCCAGCTTAAATCACCCCTCCTCTTCTCTAGCCATAACCTGGTCTGCACTTCCCTTTCCCTGCCAATTGACCCCGATTTCTGGAGAAAAGAAATGGTGGTGGCGATTTTGCCGGCGGGGGTTGGGATGGGAAGGTGGTGGAAGTGGGAAAGGGGGGGGGTGCCCCCCTGTGGGGCTCCGTGCCCCACCACGGCTCAATCAGAGGGAAGTGGATGGCCACTCGCCACGCCACGCGGGGGCCTCAGTCGGGCCACGCCCCTCCCCCCTCCC